TCATCAAATTTGGCGTTTTTGCAAAAAAATTGGGTATTTTTTGTTGTCTGGTACTGTGTTAATTCATTTGATTTGTAAGTAACAGCTATGAAACACCTGCATATCAGATATAGACATGTTCTAAATGTGATTGTTAAGTAAAATTATGTAAATGGGATTATCCCGTTTAACCAACAGATATTTCACTGACTCTAAACTCTAACAACACTAACATTAAATCAGGCGAATCTGTGAATTAGGTAAGCCTTAATTGTTGATAAAATGGTTGTCTGGCGTCGATATAGATGCGCCCTGCTTTAAAAATTCCCAATTATGGCATATTTACGAACCATATTTAACACATTGCGTAAGTATGCGAAGTATGCTAATATTGATATATTTCATTATGACCAATTATAAATTCTTACTTTGCAAAAATTTAAAAAATAAGTTGACGCATACCATTAATGTTAAAATAAAATTATAATATGTATATATATATAGCAATTGCCCATATACAAAGAATTTAAAGAAAATTCTATTTCGACCAGAATTAAAATCACCCAAACTAATATTAACGTCATTACTATTAATTTTAGTTACTTTAGATTATCAGGTGACCTTAACCTGTATGAAAATAATAAACATTTTTATACGAATTATGAAAATGAAGAAACATCTCTTAAGCTAACTTTAACATTCAGGTCATAAACCTTGTGCATTGCAGTAAAATAATATTTTATCATTTCATCCTTTTTAACTAATTCTATATTATACTTTCTATAAAGTATAACAACCACAGTTTTCATCATAATCGGAGCTATTGTTTTTCCAGCACAACCTCTGAGACCACAACCAAATGGAGTAAAAGCAAACTTTTGTAATTCAGAAACTTCAGACGAACCACCATGATTTTTAGTTAAAAATCTATCAGGATTAAAAGTTTCAGGATTATTCCAAATATCAGGGTTATTACATAGACCTTGATGATCTACCCAAAATTTAGTTCCACTTGGAAAATCATATCCACCAATATTTTCAGTTTCATCAGAAATTTTTACAGTGTATGGGGATACTAAAATTAAGCGTAATGATTCTTTAACCACAGCATCAATGTAATGACAATTATCAAGTTTTTCAAGGGCGAAATCAACGTTTGGATCAGAACCAAAAACTTCATCGATCTCTTTATGAATCTTGGCAAGAACGTTTGGATTTTTCGCAACAAAATATATTAGAAAACAGAGTGCATTACCGGTCTGTTAAATACAAATATTAAATCAAAATGAGTATTTAGATTATAATAATAGTAATATATATTCATACATGAGTATATATTTATTATAAAGAGGATTTACCGCTTCAGTGCCAGCTAAGAGAGTATCCCACGTAAGAACACAAACTTCTTCAGTAGTTAACGAAGTCAGGTTCTCAACTTTGTCAGAACCATGATCTTTTAAAGTATGAGCAATCAAAAAATGATCTAACAAATCTGCGTCTAACTCAGCACCTTCATCAAGTTCTTTTTTTCTTTTATTAATAATATCAACTATAGCACCATATAAATAATGAACATTACGTTCACATCTCTTTCTATAATGAGTAAAACCTGGTACATAATCCTGCATAAATAGAGGGATGAAAGCAAAAAATCCAAGAGAATCAAAAAATTTGTCAACAGCATCAGTAAATCTTAAAGAATTTTTAACTTCTTTTGTTTGAATTAAATTATCCTTTGCACCAAATGAAGCAACAGTGTAAGCACGTTGTTTTGTGGTTTGAAGAATCGAAATATCAGTTAAGTAACATCTTATCCATTCACAAAAATCAAATTCTATTCCATTTTTTACATTTAATTTTTTCCATATATCCTCAGATTCTTTAAATATGTTTTGAATAGAAATGACAAATCCTCGTATAAATTTCTGTGCACCTAATGCACGGTTTACCAATCTTCGTTTTTTATGAAATGATTCATAATTATTATTAAAAAATAAACCATGACCAAGACCTATTCTTTCAAGAGTAGGAAAAGGAAGTCGTTTATAGATTCTTTTAGATGGTTTGCAAAGTTTCTCAGCACAATTGATGTCATTGACAACTACGTTTCGTTCGTGACCAACATAAAATTCCCAGACTGTACCCGCATTATAACCACCCTAGCGTCACCCAAAAAATCAGTTACGTACCGGAATTTAAAATTGAATATCAGCACCCAAATAACGAT